GCTCCGTGGGCGCGCGGCCAACAACAATTGGGCAGATTGCCTGGCAGGTGCTTGTGACCCTCATTGTTGATGCTGCCCTATCTCCGTTTCTGTTCATGGTAACGGGGTTCAACTGCTCAGAGAAGCAAGTCCTGTGACCTTCAAACTTGTGTTTGGATTCAGTTGTGCCATAGATCCAACAGCTCTTCTCTTTTTGGTACATGCCAGTCACATACTGCAGGATGCAACTGCATCTACAACTATCAAGAAAGTGCTCCGCAATGAAAGCACCAGGGAACGCATGAGACGAAGCGGCACCGTGTTCATGCGCCCAGGTCACGCAGAGTTCTGACGCCAACTTCGACCCCATTTTCGGCCAGCGGCTGGAGCCCATTTTCGACCGGCCCATCTTCGGATCGTTTTCGCAGCCCAAAAGGATGCACACGGCACTGGGTGGGGAGGAAGACATGTCGGACTGAGGTAGATCCACACTTCAGAAGTCTCAAGTAGCTCGAGCAGCCGGCGTCAAGTGCTGGAATGGTGTAAGCAGAACAAGTTAGACAGACTTTAAACGATATACTGATACTGATCAAGATATACCCTACTACTGTTGAAGTGCTGGCTCAAAGTCCGGGGTGTCTATGTGCAGTTTAGGATTTGATTGCTTGGCCTGAGCCATCCCACTTCCCCTCGTCCCCTCCACGCATGCGATATCTTTCTGGGAGTGAAGGGATTCAATTAGATTATTTTGAACATCCATTCAGCAAATTGACTCATGCATTTCTTCAGACAAAGCTGTCTCTTCAGGACTTCGACATGACACTCGTGTAGTCACTCGTGTTTCTTTAAACGCAGCCCATTCCGATCTGAGCCAAGATGTTTTTGCACCTTTTGGAGAAACATTCTCAGGGCACGCCGGTGAAAACCGGAGGGCACGCCACTTCTCTTTTGGCCCCTCCAGGACACCAAAGTTCGACCAAGGCCACGCCATGTCCGAACCCAGCTGCTTGAGCAAGTAGCTGAGAAGATTCCCTGAATCTAGGATGCTCCTGATTGGCAAAAGTCAGACATTTTGGTGAATGAGTTGCTAAAAAGACACCTGAGGAGCACTTAAAGCTCTGCAGACAAGGCAGAACAGCAGCACAACGCACCATGGACCCGAGTTCCCCCCACTCCACCTGGTATCACAGTGATCCCCAGGTAGCCAGCAGATGTAGGCCCTCAATGTTCAAGTTCGAAAGCACAGACACTCTTCCTTTATCCGGATGGATTCCAGAGAAAAGTCCGATGGCATCTTGGCCGCACTGCGCTTGGAATGCTTTGGGATCTGCATGAGGGGCGGGCGACCCAAGTATTTAAGCTCATTTGGACGACGTGCCCAAATGGTGGATGGCAAGCTGCAAGTGCTACACATGTCTATGCCAAGCTTCACCAATAACTTAATTATACTTAAGCTTTACTGTAACCATTGGGGGATTCATTTCTTGACACACCAGAGTGTCGCGGGCACACCCTCGTGGTGCGACAGACATCTCCAACCTCCCGGGATGGCCCTGGCCGATGGCGATCGCCGGCCTCGGGTCCAGGGGATTTGGACACGGAATTCGGGCTCAGACTTCTACTTATGACCGACCTTCGCTGCGAGATGGTCCTCTATAAACATCTATAAACATGATAATTTACACCCGGGAAGATTAACATGGAACCTGAGTTAATGGAACTTTAAAAAACCTTTTTCCCTCTACAACCCTGTTGTTTTCTGGTTCCATGTTAATTTTCGAGGGTGTAGTTTAGTTTACCCATGTTGCTATGGCGCCCAAGTAGCCGCCACAGGCCTTTTCCTCTATCGGACGCGCGCGAGCAGTGCTGAGTTGAGGTGCTTACCAGAAGCTCTCGGATGAAGTCCAGGAGTCGGGAGGGGTTAGTGAATTTGTTGCGTGTCACCTTTGACGAACTGTGAATCTGTTGCTGCGCACTGCTGCGCACCAATTCATCCCGTCTGGTGATCTGGAAAACATGCAGAGGTCATTGTTGCTCTGAGGGGGCCCCTTTTCTCACGTAATGGCATATTACTGTATATTTGTACCTAGCACTTCCTGTACGGGTGCCCTGCCTGGAGACCTGTTTAGACCTGTTTACGTAGGGTAGGGTAGTTGAACGCCAGGACACCCAGACAGGATGATCCTGGTATATATCTTATACCCAGACACTCCATGGGACTGCCATATATGCCTACATTGACCCCCGTTCAACCACCCTAACTGATCGGCAGTCCTATGGCAGTCCCACGGGTCGTGTTTGGGATATATTACTCATAGGCCCTTGACCAGTGACCGGTTCTTTAGACCCATCGACCACCCATCCACCACCCAAAGGACGAGGTTTTTTTATTCCTACCGTCCGACGTCCAAGGGGTTCGTTCCGGTAGTGTTCTACGTAATATAAATGTATATAATAAAGGGTCTTTTGTTTTTTTGGGCGGGGGAGATGTTGCACCACATATGTTGCGTGTGTATTGCAATGCACTCAGAGAGAAGCAGGGGGAAAAAGACCATGGTTCCAGCTTGCATTGCTTAAGATTTGATTCCAATGCCATAGGTCATAAGTCATATAGATCATATAGGATGTCAATAGGATGTCATAGGGTGGTGTCCAAACTAGTTGTACCAGCCACATTTCATAGTTAACTGGCTTCACAGCTTTTGCCGGTGGATCCATGGATCAACGGACGGGCGGTTCCGGGTCGGCCGGCGCTAGGAAGCAGGCGACCCGAGAGAAACGCGCGGCTTGCCGGTGCTGTGCTACGTGATTTTTCTGGGTACCTTCGAGCTGCTGGGATCGAACCCGCGTTCCAAGCGGCGCAGGGCCGCAGGGCGGAGTATGGGGGGAGGGCACTGGGGGTCCAAACAGTTTTTGAACCGAACACCGCGGGTTTCGGCTTGTTCTTACTTGGCAGAAGCCTCAGAAACCTGCAGAGTGTGAGTGATTCCAGCGGTTTGAAGCCTCAGAATTCGCAAGTTGTCTACATGGATCATCTGCTGGGCCCTTCTTGACGACAAGTGGGGGGTCAGGCAACGGACCCCGCGGACACCACGTTCTTCGGGGATGAAGGTCCCTCCTTCTCTTTGCTCCCTGGCTAAGGTGGGGGATGGTCATCCCCACCTTATTCCCCTTGCTGCAGCGCATGGACGCGCCTGCCACGTGCGCCTGCGATCCGTGGGGCAGAGGATGGCTTGAGGGGTGTCACTTACAGCCACCAACCTTCGGTGCTTGTGTGGCATGACTTCTGCCAAATAGTGCAAGATGAAAACGCGGATGCTTTCCCTCTGGGGGTCATTTGTCCAGAATAGATCAAGACTTCGGGGAATCAGCCGAACGATGGCAGTTTGTCAATGTAATGATGTAATCATGGAAGTGGAACACCACCTGGTTGGTATTTGAACAGAGTTTTCCTCGCAGGCCTTTGCCGTCCACTTCCATATGAGTCTTGCAGGGAGGAGCAACAAGCTTCCCTGCCCTAAATAAGACTCCATGTATGGATTAAGTATGCCTGCATTGACCCCTGAAACCGTCTCAATTGATTGGCCACTTGTGCCAGTCCCATGTGTCGTGTCTTGGCTGTGGATCTGCCACTCCTTTCGAGGTACTTCGGGCTCATCATTGGGACCTTCTCCTTGACCAGGATGCTTTGCCAACCGCCACTGGGCCAATGCAAGGTGAACAAATGCAGTGCAAGATATGAAGCACCAACCTGGACTAGTGACTATATAGATCAGACATGGAGCCTGAAAACCACTGGTTGGGAGAGGAAGTAATCTTCCAGCGGAGAAGCAACTCTATTGACTGGTGGTTTGGAGTGACATCCGTACTGAAGTAAGCAGGTATCCGTAGATACCCATAGGTATCCATCATATCATATTTGCATATAACATGTACATATACATCTATACATTACGACTCACTAACATGGAAGTGGAAAATGGTTGCTTGGAAGGCTGTTTTCCTTTACAAACGGGTGGTTTTCCACTTCCATGCTAGTGAGTCAGAGTGTAGTAATATTTGCCTAGGAAACTGTGCACCAGCAAGTTCCAGAGCCCATCAGCCATGGAAGAAGATTTGGCACCAAACTGAAAAAAGACGTTCAGTCTCCAATGTGGGAGACCCGTCCATCACCATTTTTACTTAACATCTTGAATCTTATCTGCCGTCGAGATTTCAGCTTCTCAATGGGGTGACGCTCCCAGTGAACAAGTATGGGCAAGTAATGCAAAATGTGACCCCATGAGAAAGATATCTTTTCTCTACAAACAGGTGGCTTGCACTCCACTTCCCAGTGTTTTCCTCAGGGAGCATCCAGTTTTGCATCAAGGAATGGTCGATACATGTAAATACTTCCACTTGGCAAATCAAGATCATCAAGAGGGTGACACCACCACCCTACGAAGCCAATTCCTGACCAGATTGAAACCCTTCACTTTATGTTTGCGGACATGTTTCCTGAGACTCAGGTTGGTTGGTGCTTTGGGTGATCGATTTGACTTTAAGGCGCTGATGGTGGCATTTCTGAAAATGAACTATTCTTCAGAGAAAAAACTATGCTAATGCTTAACCACTCTGAAATCAGCAAAACAATCAAAACTGTGTTTGTTTAGCCTAGCAGACAGCCTAGCAGAAAGACTGTGAAAGACTGGTAGCTTATGTAAGTAAATATTCCATTCCGATGGAGTGCTTGAGCATGGAAAAGAACACTGGCTCTTGTCCCAAGTTGGGACACGTCAATGGTGGTGTGGATATCACTGGTGAGTCTGAAGGGGGGCTCAGATCATGTGCCTCGACCCACTGGGCTTCTGAAAGGTCGTCCGAGGGTCTCAGAGTACAGTGGTCTCAGAGTAGATGGCACTGGCACCCCGACAAGTCTTTCAGCTGGGGGTCCATATGAACCTCTTTTTGGGCCATTGAGCCATTTGCTCTCAATCCACTACAACTGCGCACTAATTAATTTTCCATGGTGCTTCTCCGCAATGCTGGCTTCAGCCGATGTCGAAACATGTCCTCCATGTCGGGCGCGATTGAAGCCGACTTGCCAGCGGCCTCGCAGTGAAAGAAGTGGGTGCTGCCCGCAATTGAGGCGTCCTTGGATGTGCTCTTCGACCTGTAGTCCCTGGGTCAAATAATGGATATATACCTTCGAAGTCCAGTTCGACTATATTACCACCGAAGAAAAGGAATTTCCCGAACTCGGATCACCTAGTCAGGTAATGTTTAAAATGGTCTCGGCCTTCCAGGGTGTATATAATATATATATACATGCTCTCCCACAAACTAACATGGAACCAGAGAATTGACCGGCGGAAGACGGTGGAAGACATTTTCCTTGGCAACCCAGTCGTTTTGGGTTCCATGTTAATCTGCAGAGGAGTATTACTAAGCCACCACGAGACATAGCTGCTTTCCTCGTGTGGCCGGATGAGAGTAACACTTGCACCTCTTCTCGTGGCGTGCTTGGGAGCGTTGAGGTGCGAGGATGAGCACGATGAGCTTGGCGCTTCTGCTGTGGAGCTGTGTGCAGTGCCTAGTCGCGCTAAATTCAGTGCATCGCCGGTGTGCGCTTGAATCGGGAGTATCTGCAGAGACCCCGGAGACCCCTGGCTGGGTAGACTGGACTGGACTAGTTCCTTTTTTCAAGGGGTCGGAACGCCTGGGGTCTCCCGATTTTAATTCACACTGGGGCGACTGAGAGTCACCGGTGGCGTATCCCGTTCTTCCCCCTGAAGCAGCGAGCTGTTTGGAGCTACAGGGATTTCCTGGGTTAGCCAAGGAGCCCCTAAAATTTGTTCAATCCAACTGGCTTCAGCCCGGGAGCAGGTTGGGACATGGTGGGACATGTGCCTAACAGTCTGGAAAGGACAGGCGACGGTGATGAATGTGGGTCATCCAATTCCTTTGGCCACTTCGCCCCCGGCCGCCAGTGGCCACATTCCGGGCAGTCACAGGAGAGTCAGGGGCGGGTAGCGAGCCAGCCAATACCACTTGTTTGACTTGCTGATTTTGGGAGCTGGTGGTTCGGAGGTGGCTGTCAGGATCTTGGGGGGGTACGCATGTCTTCCTTGAAGCAGGAAGTTCCCTAACCAGTGGTGACCCTCCATCCAACAACCATGGAAGCTGACCAGGACCCCCTTGTGGAGACAACACTGCCTTCCAAGGGCTGAATTATATTCAGCTTCCATGATTGTTTCATGGAGTGTAGTCCATTAAATGCATCCCATTGCAATCCCCCCTGTAGACTAACCAACACCCCTGAGAATTGATCCGTGGTTTCGACCAATTTCCGAAGACCAACCCAGTGGTTTTTGGGGGTTTCCATCTTACTCCGCTTCCAGCGCTCACTCCGTGGTTCACATGTCCAGGACCGCAGCTGCCGAGCGTGAGGACGCCTCCCTGCTGCAGAACCGGGCGCAGAAGGAGCATGTGATCCCCTGCATCATCCATCAGAGCCTCAGACTTCAGTAGAAAGAGGCACTTCCTTTGATTCATACGCTGCCTTGCATGATCCACTCTATCCCTCTCCATCCACTATTTGCCTTCACCTGGTGAGGTGCCACGCCCCAACCAATCGACCGTGCGGCGGGTTCTGCCACGTGGTCGTCGGATGGACCAAGCCCCGACGCACCGAGGACTGCGCCGACACACCAGCTGGAAGGTGCCTACAAAGGATGGTAGAAAGTATGTCCAAGACATCTTTGGAGTGGCGCTATATCGGATATTATCGGATATCGTATGGATTCGTATGGCAAACTACAATAGCATGAAGGCGGCCTACTATACCTGTTTTTTTAAATCCACATTAATTTGGGATCGCCTTTTTCAGTTTCACTTACACCTGGGCACATGTGCCGGACTCTCGACCTCCCGCGCGCCTGCGGCCTTGCATCCATCGGAAGACGGTGGGTTCGGGATGACCGGAGGGCCAGTTGGCAAAGGATTATCACGATGTTTTGAAGCCTTTATACTATCAATATCTATGGCACTCATCATCCACTATCATCCACTGAAATAATGGGATGTGGTTAGGAACTGTTAGGAATGATCTATGCCCAAACGGGCTCCAGTCGTACCTTCGTTTCGAAGGTGGGACGGGAGGCCCGGGTGCCATTGTCGGGTCCAGTCATACCTTCGTTTCGTTTCGGTAACCTCCTGCAGCCCAGACGAGATGATGCTTTGAGGTAAGGCCGTTTGGCTCGAAGCTGCAGGTGATGAGGCCAAGTGGGTCCAGACGTGGAAGACGAAGAACCCCTACTGCAAGCACAAGCTTTGGAATGCCGCTTGGTGGGCTGGGTCCCGAACGGAGGATGTCTTGTCCCGAACTGGGTGGATCCCCTTCTGGATGTTGTTTTGTTTTTGTTTTGTTCTCTCCGGTTCCTGGATGAATACTAAAACGACTGGAGCAAAAGAGGGGGGGGGGCCCTTTTCCAAGCCAAGTTGGAGCATAAGGGGAGCAAATGCAAGTTGGATATATAACATGGAGCAAGAGGGGGCCTTTTCCAAGCAAAACGACTGCCTCAGGCACTCCATGAGACACTCCATGAGGCACTCCGTGAGGATCCCCAAACCACGAAAACGGCTCCTCACGACATGCGACCTGATGCCCCCGACTCGAAGCGTCAAACGCGCCGCAACATGCTACGATGCTAAACATCAAAGGAACTCTTCTTAAAACGGTTGACTTCAATCCAAAATGCAAGATGCAAAATATACATCAACAAATATACAACATATATAACGACACATTTCAAGACATATTAACTTCAATCAACACTGCAAAATACAACACTGATACACTTCAAGCACCACACAATAGCGTTCCCATTTTGGTGTCTTCAGGACACTGAGATCGCCGCGCTGGCGAAAGAGAAGTCGCCGGAGCTGCTGTGGCCCATCTGGGAAGGGCTGAGCAATGTGGAGCGTGCGGACGTCTTCCGGTACTTGGTCCTCTGGGACCAAGGAGGTTTCTGAGATTCTTAGCAACGCAAGTAGGGTCCAAGATGATCCGGAGGATGCCCCGCAAGCCCCCCCCCGACAACCACCATTCTTTGGTTTCGTACGAACTCACCTCCAAGGCCATGCGAAAAGGAGGTACCTGGACCCTATGGGCAAGGATTTGGGCTGGGCTGGAGAAAGGGAGAGAAAGGGATATGAGGCTTAAAGCATTTACCCTGGGAGTTCCAAGACTAGTTGAAACAAGTTGTGCAGCTTGGTGGCCTCTCCGATTTTAGGAACTTGGGGAGGCGCAGAATACTTGGGGAGAAAATGCCCAGGAGAGGCATCATCGTAGCTAATCACTAGCCTAGCCGCTAGCCCACATCTTTTTTCAGTGTTAGCCGCCCTCCAGTTCAAAATGGCATCCGAAGTGGTAGACCAGTCCATCTTCACCTTACCATGATCCCAGCATTACTCCTGGTATCTTGAGAGCACCACATGGCCCCCGAGGCAAACATGGAGCCGTGGAGCCTTCGGAACATCACTCACGGGACAATCCGAACTCACGGCCGATTCTCCGTCCACGTGGACCAGGATTGTTTTAGGGAAGTGCCATGTGTGTTTTGTCCTCATTTGTTCCAATCAAGCAACCTGTCACCTACGTAACCTCTACATAGCCCTGGCGGAGCTCCCGCATGGCAGCTCCAACTTCTCAGGGAGTGTATTCCGCATGAGCACTTCCCAGCTGCCATAGCTGCCAGGTTACTACGCGGACACGGATGCCGCCTGTGTGAGACCCATTGCGACGTGGGAGGTGCCGAGGAATGCCAGCCGCTAGGAGCGGAAATTGCGACGGTGGGAGTCCCAGAATGGCTCATCTTCAGGAAACCCATAGGTCTGAGGCACAAGATGCTAAAAGCAGAAGCGGTTTTAGTGAAGCATCTTCAGGAAACCAGTAGTTAATCATAGTTCTTGGGTACAATATGATCTTTGAAAGCAGAAGTGGCTTTTGGGACACCTCCAAGAAACCCATACTTTTTGGTGTAAAAGACCATGGTTTTCTGCATGTAGATGTTCCCTTTAAACCAATCCATTGAGGGATTTCTGGCATCCGAGGTGGCCTGAAGAGGTCAATTAGCTCCAAAGCTTAGGTACCGCTGTGGGCACCTACCCAAGCGTGGTAGGTAGCAGCACCACCCAGTCGTACACCCAGTCCCAGTAGGTTCAGAGTCGATGGCACAATCACCAATGTCGGTGGTTGAGACGGAGCCCTATCTAAAGGACATCTTGGGGTGCCAATGCCACCGAACCTCTGAAATCACTGTAGTACACTTTCGATGTTCACTGCAGATACGGTGTGCGCGGCGTTTTGTGCTGCTTTTTGCCCCCCGCCTCAACTGCATTGGCTCATTCTTCGTCAGTTTCATGGTAATTGTCAGCTTCATGCTTCTCATCGGCTAGACCTCGGCTCCTTCTTCATCGGCTAGGCCTGCATGGTTCTCCTGCTCCATGCTCCCTGTTGTTTGCCCAGGGAGGGTGCCCCTGGTTCCACATACCCAGACCAGGTGAGGCTAAGCGAAAACGATGCCAAGCTGCAGCAATGAACCCCAGACACTCCATGTTTGGAATATACATACATTGGGGTGGTTGAAAAGGGTTAATTAAGAAGGGAACTAGTCCAGTCCAGTCTCAGACAGGGGGTGCCTGGGTATGGCAAAGGCCTCACCGAGAAAACTGAGGCATGATTGTTGGATACGAATTTGGCCATCGCTGGACCGAGAACGAGAGGGAGAAATTCAAGACGCCCAGCGAAAATGGGGCGTGTGTGGTAAGTTGAGGAGGCTTTCGGGTTAGGTGGTTGGAATTTCAGGAGTGCCAGTGAATTTGAGGGATGGTGAAATTTACAACGATGCCCACATATAGACTTGAATAGTAACCCCACCACATGAAGGAGGTTTACAGGCTTAAAATCCAACTGGGGGAGTTTTGGGGCGCGAACTTGGGACCACTGGTTGTTTTCAAATTGCAACGAAGGGACCCCCCAAAAAAGTCAAACTAGTGGTGCTCCTTCCGGAGGATCGTCAAAGCAGTGTGCGTTTCTCGTTGGTTCGCTTTCACATGTTTGGTGCCCCTCTTGGAGCAACTGACTGAGTTATTTACGGCCTAAATGCCAGAGCTTCAGGTCTTTCCAGTTCATCCCTTCTTTTTTTTAGTCCCTCCCTGCTTTGCCAAAGGTCTGCACGTTGGGCACATCGCTCCGTGAATACTGCATGGTCATGGTGCTTGTAATTGTTCCTGATTCTTCTTATTGTCAGCCTTCTTGCTTATTGTCCTGTGCTTTTCTTGCTTTATGATTCTTCCGTCCATTTTACCACACATATTTATACTCCAGCAGCAGATCTTCATTGGACAGGTGAACTTTCCTGGCGAACATGTGTTCTCCCAGTTCTTTTTGGCCCCCCCTGTACTGTCACTTCGCTCATGCCACCGTATACCCCAAACTGTCTGCCCCGCACCCCCACACCCCCGGACACCCTCCTCCGCAGCGGCCGTCGGACACGGCACGCGCCCGGCGGAACACGCTTGGTCGTCTTCGGAGGTTCGCGCGGACGGAGCAGATGGAGCAGTGGTTCTTCGCGTCGGCGCCGCAGAATCCCATCTTGTTGCGGTGCCTGGAGCTGGTGCGCCAGCGCTTTGCTTGGCACCTCGGGCTGTGGGCAACAAGAGGGAAGGCGGCACCTTGTGGTGGAAACCAAGCGGGGGTCGGTGAGCTTGGTGGGTGATGAGGCACCTAGATTCACGGCAAGTAGTCTAATCAGTTCATTTTCTGTCCAAGCTTTCACCCCCAAAAGGAAGACCATGAAATCCTCATACCAAGCAGGGGGTGAACCTCCACTTCCATGTTGGTTTTCCAAGGAGTATACCTCCTTCTTGGTAGGAAGATGTTCAAGGCATAGATTCCATCTTGGAATTGCTGAGGTGTGTGACTTGATCTGAAAATTAAGTCCGGGTCGGACATGGTGGGACCAGTTCTGGGAGTTCTTCTCCTTGGCGGTTTGCGTTTTCTTTGATGTTCTTTGCCATCTCCTACTCTTCCTCAGCCTTCCAAGGGTGCACCTGGTTTTGTAGTAAAATCCTTTGTCAAACAAGGGGTTCTTCGAGAGACACCCTTAAAACAAGCGGGTTCTTGTGTTCTTTTTTCTTTTGGGGTCTTGCGTTTAATGGTGACACTCCCCAAAAGAGCATCATGGAAGTGCATAGGCCCAATCTCAAGGAAGACCCTTGGCCCAATCTCAAGCCGTTTGGTGTTCAACTCCACCTCCATGGTGACTCCAGGTGAGTTTTCCTCGGGTTTTTTCCCACATAAGTAGTGGTTCTTGGAGACATGCCGATCCGAGCCACCCCCCGACTCCTCAGGGGCATCCAATCCACGATGTTCCTCACTGGCCCGGGAGTCTTCAGCGATGCGGTCCATGCGCCTCGGCGGTCGAAGCGAACGGAGTTTGTGTCATCGCCGACCTGGGTCGTGCAACACCTGCGAGCCCGACCTGGTTCACCCCGTAGCGAAGGAGCTTCTTCGGTCAAGCGAGGTATCCTGGGTGCCGTGACCCACGGCCAAATGAACAGCTATAGCTGGTGATTGGGAGAGGGCACGCACGCTAAGGAGCTGGGGGTATCCAGTTCTTCCCCGTTATTCCCCTTTCGGCGGGGGGGCCGGATCTGTGGTTGCTATTTGGTATGTTGTCATCTATAAATATATATAATCCAATTAAAGTATACTGTATATATACTTGGCATCGGTAGGTGTGGTGCATGCTGCTACGAGAACCACAGCTGGATGATAGCTTGCATTAATGCTTGCGGGCTTGTCCAACAAATTCTTGGAGGCGCTTGACAAAAGGCCCAGCCCCTAGAGAACATTCAACTGACTCGCCTGCACAAGGAGCTGGTGCGTGGCTTCACACTATGTTTGGCATGTTTGATCCCAATCATGACTCAAGTGACTCAAGTGTTTGTGGGTCAAAACCCACCAGACCACGACGATTTCTCAACGTTTTGACCCTAGGAGTTCCTTGAGATGAACGTGCCAGAGGCCTTGGATGAGGAGGTGTCCTATCGATCGAATGCGACAGGTGTCCTGGACTTATCCAAAGGGACCAGTTTCCACTTCCACGATCATCTCAGGTTGTTGATAGACTTTTCCCTCCCCATCTCTACACTGGATAGACCAATTCCATGAATGGTGTGTTGGAGTGCGAAACCTTTCGTGGCTGTGGTGAATTCGCCTTTTGTGGGACTGGTTGTCGTAATTGTTTGGACGGGTGGGAGTGGTGGTCAGATATGGTAAGATAAGAAACAGATGGAGGAAAGTGAACGGAACCTTGTACTCTTGGGGTGGCTGCTCCAGTAGACAAACTTGCGGTTCAGTGTGAAGGCAACACGCCCTGATCTACCCAGCCTCAATGTGAGAGCCTGGCCTGCTAAGTTGGAACTGGTATAGGACCTATAAAGGCACCCCTTCAAAGTCTTCAACATCCAAACAGACGACCACGATGTGAAGTTGGTTAAGCAAATGCTCCGGACCTTTTCCGCTCTTACAACATCCGTTACCCTTCCAGCAGCCGAAACTCGCCTGGGCCCACGCAAAGCGCCGCACTTGAAGTGGTTGTGTGCTTCGCCCAGGTATCCGGACACCAGGCGCAGGGGAGTGGGGCTTCAAGAAGTGCAAGTCCTGAACAAAAGGGATTTGCTGGTGATGCCTATAAGTAGATCCCCACGTTCAGAATGGATTCGAAAGCTGGTGTATTACTCCATCGACTCTGGGAAAAGGCGAGGTTGCCAAGTGCACATGAGAGGTATTTGGAGTCAACCGCTCAAGGTGTAGCAACATGTACCAGAACCTTTGCTAAAAAGCATCCAGGGCCAGCTAGGAGCAGTAGAAGATGGTGTTTGCATGTGTTTGCTGGGTTGATGGCTTTGGATGAAACGTTTGGGACCCACGCCCCGCCGCGGGGCGGAGCGGCGTCACTCGTGAGGCGTCAAGACTCGTAGCTTCGCCAGCGAGCAGCTCTATGGGCTGGGCTCCTGGAAGGCACGGCAACCATCGGAGGGGTGCGGAAGAGGCTGCTAAGAAGATGCTCGAAAAGTTTGGACCACCTAGTGGCCATAGCTAGCTACCCCAAAGAATCGGAGAAGGCCACAGGTCTGTACCTGAAGATGGGAGAGAGCTATATTATGTACCACAATGTACTGAATATATGATTTACATACATTGACGAGTTTTGGGCATAGGTGGCGTCCGGAATCCTTTCACCCCAAAGAAGACATGCATATAACCACCAGTAGATTTGGACGGCCCAAACTGCCTGCCCGAGGTGGACTTCGCAACAAAAGGTTGCTTAAGAAGTCTAGATAATCATGGCTTCCAGCTCTTGAATTCTTCTGGCGCCTGATATGCTCACAAGCTTCTGCCCCTGCCCACGGCCTCGGAACGCGAGGTGTTCCTGGCGGCCGCAGGGCGCGTGAACCCCAAAGCGACGACGGAGAAATGGGATCCTGAGGTGCCAACCCCAACTGCGGAGTGCGAGAGGTTGGGAGTGCCAAGATGCCAATATGCCGACCTACTGTAGGAACCAGAATGATCACCTGTTGTTTTTCTTTTCTCCCTCTGGGGTGGACCTAAGAAACAGGCATCCAACCCACATCAGAACCACTTGAAGTGAGAGGTTTCCGTTCGCCAGGGCGGGTTGGCTTTCCCATGAAGCGTTCCAAGCTCCATGGCGTTCCCAGACTGCTCCTGGGGTCGGATGAACCGTAAAGACCTGAACAGAAAAGCATCACCTTTGCTGCTCCCTGCGTGGGCGGTTTCAGGTTTCAGCCAACTGGGTGAGACATCTGACGGCAACAGAAGAGGTGAACAGCTTGAGTGCAAGCAATCAAGTCACCAACTGCTTCTGGTCCCCACGCATGCGGAATCCAACGGCTTCTCCACTTGTGGTTGTGGCATAATTTTCCTCCAGTCTGGCCTTCAAAGCACGTGAAGAAGCTCCAAACGCCCAATTCTAGATTTGGTAAATCTCATCACTTGGCTGCCTCAGGAGGGGAATCCATCGGCCTTCATCTATCATCACTTCGCGGGAAGTTGGAAGACTCTCAGCGACTTGACCCCCAAAGAACTGGAGAAGCTCAAGGCGCAGGAGCTCGTCCGCATGCGCATGGTCTGCGCGCTCTGTCGGCAGTGAAGTTGGATTGTGCTGGGAGTGGGGGAGCTGAATTGTTGTTTGAAGATAATGGTAAAATTGAAGTATATAACTAATTGGAGCATTTTGAAGTACAGTCTAGTGATATGTGGGGCGTTTTCCTTTGCACCGACAAGGACGTAGCAACCGCTTCAGGAACTGCACGTGATCACATTTTAACTACATTCGACTTCCTTATGTTCACTTCAACAGTAACCGCCAGTCCCGGATAGTACTTTTTGCCCAAAACAGTTTACTGTTAGGGGCTCTCAATGCTTTAAAGAATGGTCGCCTTGGTGCTGGATGGTCTGGTCGGGTTCCCGGCCGGCTTGTCTCCCACTTCCTTTCATTTGTCTCCCAGTTCTTTTCATTTGTCTCCTAGGCTGGGTGCTTGTGGTCGGGTTCCCGGCTGGCTTGTCTCCCACTTCCTTTCATTTGTCTCCCAGGCTCGGTGCTTGTGGTCGGGTTCCTGCCGGCTTGTCTCCCACTTCCTTTCATTTGTCTCCCATTTCCTTTTATTTGTCTCCCTGGTCGTGTAGCATTTCTATTCATTTGTCTCCTAGGTCTGTCACTGCTGGTGTCCGCCCTTTTTCACTGGCGATGCTGGT